TTTTTTTTGTATCTTTCCTCAGACCGATAAGGCTCAAGTAATTACTCGACAGCGCAAAGCAAGCTCTACAAGATGACTATCAAGGGCCTGCTCAGACCGTAACGTGAAGTTTTGGCTAAAATCTGATAGCACTCAAGAACGAACTGTACTGTCAAAAATCGTATCTCCGCCCCAAAATATTTTAAAAAATCCCCAAATTCAAGCATAGGCCTGACATATCGAACACTCAGATTTAATTTCCTTAGTTTTTCCACAGCTAAAGACAAAATATGAATGGAGTAAAATGGCGAACTTCGCCCTTACATGTCCTGAGCTCCTCCTACGCACATGATATAATACATACAGAAGTACGATCATGTAGTTGTACCCTTTGTAAAGACCCCAGTTCTCGAGAATTGCTGATATTTGGGACAAAAACGGTAAAAAATCATGGGGCGCCCTAATAGTACTCGTAAAAGTGAAAGTAAATACGCACGATATAGATTTCATGTTTAACAGAAAATTAAATTATGTGAGAGATGGACCTATGCGATTTTCCTGGTAAACAACATAAAATATGGAGGGAAGCGCTGTATTACCACATTAAAAACTGCAATTTTCTCAAAATGTCTATATTGTGAACTCACCACCAAATGGTACACTCTGTGGAGTGTTGAGCTGCCAACGACTCTGATAAATTCCTGGAGTTGATGGACTAATCATTTCTACATTCAATTCTGCTTCGCCGCCTGGCCCAAGACATGCAACCGGTACTCTTCGCTCACACGAAAGAGGAGTTCCTGTTTGAACAATGACTCAGTTCGCAAATTAGAAAGAAAAGACTGTTATGATAAATCTAACTTTACCAACATACCGTCGACAAAACATAAAGCGGTTCCCTGAGGCCAATGAACTCCTCCAGTATTTTTGACTCGCCAAGACTTCACAAAACGGGTCTTCGGAGGAACGGATTCACCCTATGGCACAAATTTGATGTACTTGAAGATATTTATAGATAAGACGACTTTGTCATGAATAATGAGGCAACATGAGAAGATATTAGACTACCTCGCCGATCGTGACGTCTCTGACAAGTTGCATATTTAGTAAGGGTAAGTCTACACCAATTTCATTAACATTGTTAGCGTGACCGTGATCGTAATAGGCTCCTACAGCATCTTGGAGATTCCTAGAAAAATATAAATACGCTTCCTTCCAATACATATGAGCATACCAACCAATTCGACATATCCAGGAAGAATGCGCATAATTCTGGAGAAAGCGAGACGTCCCCAAGGATGCTTTGAAATTGCTTCACCAGCACCTTAAATACATTGTGATAAACGAGCACTAGAAAAACGGATGAAAACTTTGCAAAAAGAAGAGCGAAAAAGTCAAGCAATAAACCAAACTTACATCTTTATCGCTAGTCCCTAAGCAAGACAGCTGACGAATGAGCATATTATCGATATCATCGGTTTCCATGGACTAAAAACTACTGCCTTTAGAACCGCGATTGAACGTTACAAACGACGACAAGCAAATAACGACGATTTGAAATGGGATCGAGAAGTCAACAGCGGTCTACCATCACGTATGGTCTTTTTACGATAGAATTCAGTGTGACGGATATTTGACTTACTGATATGCAGTTGAGAATATCAATACAAAAAGACTGACTGAAAAACCCAGACATGCACAGAATGTTTCACTTTTTTGTGCGTCGACGAGTGTGCCGCAAAAGGTGGGGAAACGTGTACAACCAAAAACTTTTCTTCCCAATTTGCTTTGCCAGATTCAAGTATGAAAGAGAAAATTACTCGAATGGTAATATAGAAGAAAACGTGAAAATTCTACAGGTGGAACATTTACATGCAATATTCTGGCGAAATGAAGCTGAAGCAATGCGAGTCAGCCAATGTTCCAATGCTACATATTTCAGAAATGAATAAGACACAAGACGAATCACACAAAATTTTCATATCAAGCGGAACGTTGTTCGTAGCTGGAGAGAAAGTTACGCATAACCAATACAGACTGTATTTGCAACAGCATATCCAAAATGCAATAAAGGGAACGATAGAAAAATGATTATAAAAGGACTTCGAACCAGGCAGATACTGATCAACCGCGGTGCACAAAATCTGTACTTACAGTCAGCACAATAAGAAGATTAGCTCTAAACTGATATACATCGTTTTAGTTATGTTCTGCAACCAAAAAGTGCTATTGTGCATGTAAGAAACTTTATTAGAGAAAACACTGCGGAATGAGAACGGAATGAAAGTTTTCTGAATCAAGGAGAATACAAGAGGTTGTGCAGACGCAATATTAGAGCTTACTTTGAACACCATAAAAGAATGCTGAAGAACTGATACAAGCAAGAATAAAGAAAATAGATCTAGCACACTGATGACCACAATAAGCAACTGACAGAGAGCCAAATGCATGTTGCGATGGAATAAAATTTGGCAACGATTCACAACATGAGGAACAATTGAGAATTGATGCACCTGGAACGTGACAAAAATAGAGCAGTTGCAACACAAATACTTATTGATGTGTGTTTAATAGCACTGAGCCGCTGTATTCCACCTAACAATAACCGTTATGAAAAAAAGTGAAAAGTTTCTATGAAACATGGGGCAGGTTGTTTTTCTGAAGCGACGCCTGCACCTGCATTTGCGCAGAAATCTGCTGCGGCGCGCCGTTGCTGCGAAAAGTTGAAAGAGGTGATTTATTTGATGAATTCTGGTTTGATTGATTGACAGTGTTTGGAACAGCGTCTAAGCGGATGCGTTGCACATTGGAAGCTTTCATCTGAATAATAGTTTCGTTTGTGGAAAAAGTGAAAATGAGACACCTGTTAACGATGCTGGAAATAGTTTTGAGTTGAGGAACGATTACTATGCTCCTTCTCGAGAACTACTACAAATGAACAAAGCAGGTAAAATGAGACCGCTTATCA